GCGAGTGTTTGAGTGAATCAACAAGCGAGTGTTTGAGTGAATCAACAAGCGAGTGTTTGAGTGAATCAACAAGCGAGTGTTTGAGTGAATCAACAAGCGAGTGTTTGAGTGAATCAACAAGCGAGTGTTTGAGTGAATCAACAAGCGAGTGTTTGAGTGAATCAACAAGCGAGTGTTTGAGTGAATCAACAAGCGAGTGTTTGAGTGAATCAACAAGCGAGTGTTTAAGTGAATCAACAAGCGAGTGTTTGAGTGAATCAACAAGCGAGTGTTTGAGTGAATCAACAAGCGAGTGTTTGAGTGAATCAGCGAGTGTTTGAGTGAATCAACAAGCGAGTGTTTAAGTGAATCAACAAGCGAGTGTTTGAGTGAATCAACAAGCGAGTGTTTGAGTGAATCAACAAGCGAGTGTTTGAGTGAATCAACGAGCGAGTGTTTGAGTGAATCAACGAGCGAGTGTTTGAGTGAATCAACAAGCGAGTGTTTGAGTGAATCAACAAGCGAGTGTTTGAGTGAATCAACAAGCGAGTGTTTGAGTGAATCAACAAGCGAGTGTTTGATTGAATCAACAAGCGAGTGTTTGAGTGAATCAACAAGCAAATGTTTGAGTGAATCAGCGAGTGTTTGAGTGAATCAACAAGCGAGTGTTTGAGTGAATCAACAAGCGAGTGTTTGAGTGAATCAACAAGCGAGTGTTTGAGTGAATCAACAAGCGAGTGTTTGAGTGAATCAACAAGCGAGTGTTTGAGTGAATCAACAAGCGAGTGTTTGAGTGAATCAACAAGCGAGTGTTTGAGTGAATCAACAAGCGAGTGTTTGAGTGAATCAACAAGCGAGTGTTTGAGTGAATCAACAAGCGAGTGTTTGAGTGAATCAACAAGCGAGTGTTTGAGTGAATCAACAAGCGAGTGTTTGAGTGAATCAACAAGCAAATGTTTGAGTGAATCAGCGAGTGTTTGAGTGAATCAACAAGCGAGTGTTTGAGTGAATCAACAAGCGAGTGTTTGAGTGAATCAACAAGCGAGTGTTTGAGTGAATCAACAAGCGAGTGTTTGAGTGAATCAACAAGCGAGTGTTTGAGTGAATCAACAAGCGAGTGTTTGAGTGAATCAACAAGCGAGTGTTTGAGTGAATCAACAAGCGAGTGTTTGAGTGAATCAACAAGCGAGTGTTTGAGTGAATCAACAAGCGAGTGTTTGAGTGAATCAACAAGCGAGTGTTTGAGTGAATCAACAAGCGAGTGTTTGAGTGAATCAACAAGCGAGTGTTTGAGTGAATCAGCGAGTGTTTGAGTGAATCAGCGAGTGTTTGAGTGAATCAGTGAGTGTTTGAGTGAATCAGTGAGTGTTTGAGTGAATCAGCGAGTGTTTGGGTGAATCAGCGAGTGTTTGGGTGAATCAGCGAGTGTTTGAGTGAATCAGCGAGTGTTTGAGTGAATCAGCGAGTGTTTGAATGAATCAGCGAGTGTTTGAATGAATCAGCGAGTGTTTGAGTGAATCAACAAGCGAGTGTTTGAGTGAATCAACAAGCGAGTGTTTGAGTGAATCAACAAGCGAGTGTTTGAGTGAATCAACAAGCGAGTGTTTGAGTGAATCAACAAGCGAGTGTTTGAGTGAATCAACAAGCGAGTGTTTGAGTGAATCAACAAGCGAGTGTTTGAGTGAATCAGCGAGTGTTTGAGTGAATCAGCGAGTGTTTGAGTGAATCAGTGAGTGTTTGAGTGAATCAACAAGCGAGTGTTTGGGTGAATCAGCGAGTGTTTGAGTGAATCAGCGAGTGTTTGAGTGAATCAGCGAGTGTTTGAGTGAATCAGCGAGTGTTTGAGTGAATCAGCGAGCGAGTGTTTGAGTGAATCAACGAGCGAGTGTTTGAGTGAATCAACAAGCGAGTGTTTGAGTGAATCAACAAGCGAGTGTTTGAGTGAATCAACAAGCGAGTGTTTGAGTGAATCAACAAGCGAGTGTTTGAGTGAATCAACAAGCGTGTGTTTGAGTGAATCAACAAGCGAGTGTTTGAGTGAATCAACAAGCGAGTGTTTGAGTGAATCAACAAGCGAGTGTTTGAGTGAATCAACAAGCGAGTGTTTGAGTGAATCAACAAGCGAGTGTTTGAGTGAATCAACAAGCGAGTGTTTGAGTGAATCAACAAGCGAGTGTTTGAGTGAATCAACAAGCGAGTGTTTGAGTGAATCAACAAGCGAGTGTTTGAGTGAATCAACAAGCGAGTGTTTGAGTGAATCAACAAGCGTGTGTTTGAGTGAATCAACAAGCGAGTGTTTGAGTGAATCAACAAGCGAGTGTTTGAGTGAATCAACAAGCGAGTGTTTGAGTGAATCAACAAGCGAGTGTTTGAGTGAATCAACAAGCGAGTGTTTGAGTGAATCAACAAGCGAGTGTTTGAGTGAATCAACAAGCGAGTGTTTGAGTGAATCAACAAGCGAGTGTTTGAGTGAATCAGCGAGTGTTTGGGTGAATCAGCGAGTGTTTGAGTGAATCAACAAGCAAATGTTTGAGTGAATCAGCGAGTGTTTGAGTGAATCAACAAGCGAGTGTTTGAGTGAATCAACAAGCGAGTGTTTGAGTGAATCAACAAGCGAGTGTTTGAGTGAATCAACAAGCGAGTGTTTGAGTGAATCAGTGAGTGTTTGAGTGAATCAACAAGCGAGTGTTTGAGTGAATCAACAAGCGAGTGTTTGAGTGAATCAACAAGCGAGTGTTTGAGTGAATCAGCGATTGTTTGAGTGAATCAGCAGCGAGTGTTTGAGTGAATCAGCAGCGAGTGTTTGAGTGAATCAGCGAGTGTTTGAGTGAATCAGCGATTGTTTGAGTGAATCAGCGAGTGTTTGAGTGAATCAGCAGCGAGTGTTTGAGTGAATCAGCGAGTGTTTGAGTGAATCAGCAGCGAGTGTTTGAGTGAATCAGCGAGTGTTTGAGTGAATCAGCAGCGAGTGTTTGAGTGAATCAACAAGCGAGTGTTTGAGTGAATCAGCGAGTGTTTGAGTGAATCAGCAGCGAGTGTTTGAGTGAATCAGCGAGTGTTTGAGTGAATCAGCAGCGAGTGTTTGAGTGAATCAGCGAGTGTTTGAGTGAATCAGCAGCGAGTGTTTGAGTGAATCAGCAGCGAGTGTTTGAGTGAATCAGCGAGTGTTTGAGTGAATCAGCAGCGAGTGTTTGAGTGAATCAGCGAGTGTTTGAGTGAATCAGCGAGTGTTTGAGTGAATCAGCAGCGAGTGTTTGAGTGAATCAGTGAGTGTTTGAGTGAATCAGCGAGTGTGTGAGTGAATCAGTGAGTGTTTGAGTGAATCAGCGAGTGTGTGAGAGTGTGTGAGTGGAGTCAGCTTTATTCCAGTACAGATCGTAAAAAAAAAGCTTTACAGTAATAAACAGGAAAATAACAGAATCCTTCATCAGATCTAATTCAGATTCCGCTGTAAAGCAGCTCTACAGACTAGTGATGCGCGGGTCGGCTTTTTTTTCCAACCCGCGGGTCCCGCTTTTATGAAATTATTTGGCCCGCCCCAGCCCGCACCGCACCACTGTATCTATTTTTACAACCCGCCCCGCACCCGCGACCATTAAATAGACATAGGCCTACTACTAGGCATTGTTATGTAAATGAAAACAGCCTTTATTTCAGCCTGAAAGTGCTTGGAAACATCGCCCTGTAAACTGTCAACAAGAGACGATTATGAATATGAATCATAAATCAGGTCATATTAATAAGATACTAATAAACATTTTCAACATTTACAAAGCAGCGTTTGTATTCATCTAATAGGCTTGAAACCATTTTTGATTTCTTAGACCCCCCACAAATATGTCTTGACATGCTGGAAGTGCCCGTTTTGTGGCGCTACTGTTTGTATATTTTTCACACTTCAGGTAGCCGATCTAGCTACTGTTGTCTCCTGCTGCAACTATTTCTGAGAACCGCTCCCAAACATTAGATTAAGCAGCCTAACCTTATTTTTCGTTTCAATTTAATCAGTTAAATTCCGGCGCGCCGCTTTCGTGACGTGTCACGTGACGCCAAAGGTTTATGGAGCTCACGCAAGTTAAGTTGCTACGCCATTCGTATTGTAACCTTATCAAATAACCTAATAAAATAGATATTCCCAAATATTTAATATAGGCTGGAAATTGCAAGCAATATACATGGATTAAAAACAACAATAATAATGACCCGCCCCACAAATAAAGTGACAATTTCTTTACCCGCCCCAACCCGACCCGCGGGTTACGAGTCGGCCCGCGCATCACTACTACAGACGGCAATAAAGTCATCATTCAGATCAACAAGTTTTGTTCTCGCCTGTTAGCGTCAGTGCAATCAATAACGATTCTGAATATGAACAGCCTGGAAGAGCTCCAGCTTCAGGAACACACAGGGGAACGTGACTGAGATGTAGTGTGTTTCTCCTGTAGTTTATGTGATTATCGTCATATTCTGCCTGGCGTCGGCATCCGCGCTCTACAACTGTCTGGATTCCCTGATGACGGCTGTGGGCTGCGGGACGCTCAGGTGAACACACACACACACGCACACACACATGCTTGTTTGACATTAATTGCATTATATAAGCAGAATGTTTCAGATGAAAAAAACAAATGAACTAGTATGAACACAGCTGTAACTCTACACCATCCAGCTGTTGTCATGGTTACCACTCTGTTATTGGAGGTTTATGATCTGTCTGTGTGTATGTGTGTGTGTGTGTGTGTGTGTGTGTGTGTGTGTTTTCCAGCGTGTCCTGCCATGAGAGAAGTGTGTCTGTGCGGTCGCTGCTGCTCGCCGCTGTCTGCATTACACTGGCTGTGATCTGGGGCGTGTACAGGAACGAGGACAGGTGATACACACACACACTCTCACACACACACTCTCACACACACACACACTCTCACACACACACACACACACACTCACACACTCACTCACTCACACACCCACTCACTCACGCACACACCCACTCACTCACACACGCACACACACACTTACTCACA